TTAAAAAATCTTATTGCACTGACTGATTTACCAGTTTTAGTTTTCTGAAACTGTAATCCCCTCCTTGCTCTTAAAAAATCAACAGTTTCATTTACATTTTTTCTTCCCAGTTGGAAGTTGGCAGAGAATCTCATGATCATAAGGCTACAAAATGTTATTAGAGACAGGGACGGATAAACTGCTGAATAACAGTTTGTGGGACTGGGACTGTTGCTACTGTTAATTCTTAACACTTCTGCTTTCTTTCCCTTCGAATGTTAATAGGTAAGGATACACAAATGAGCACATGGGTAGTGTAAGTTAGTAAGCTTTGGTCTGTAAGGTGCAGGCTGAATTTCTTTGGTGAAAGACTGAGTATTTCCATGTGGGAGATGATTCCACCCTCTCCCTCTAGATGACAGCAGAACACCAGCCTTACTGTATGGGATTGTTTTCTGAATGTATTTCAAAAGAATATTGTTATTTATTGTCCTACTTGATTATTTTTTTAAAGAGGTTGGAATTACTGTTGTAATATTGTGCCCTCCTTCAGAACAAACTGCATACTTTGGACAGCTGATAAAAAGCACCAGGAGTTTAAACATGTTCTTTTATGAATATCTGTTTCCGCAAACATGAAACATGTTCACACCTGTGATAAATATCTCTGTCTTTCACAGGTAAAGTGCGAACCAGATGCTTCTTGACGAGCAAGATCCTGAACCTTCAGAGGCATCCTTATTTCTAACACCACATGAATGCATGGGGATCACTATGGAGGAGTATGTCTGTGCCAGCACAGCGCTTGCCGAGTGAGCATGGGAGTTTGATTTTTGTATCCTTCCACGAAGAGGCTGATGAAGCCAGGGCTATGATATGAGCTCCCTGCATTGGGCTGCATCATCTCCCAGCTGGCCCATTAAATGCTTCTCACGCCTCTGGCCTGGGACAACTCTCAAAAGCAGGCTACCTTTTGTCACTGGGCTGAAGAGTCTCATCCTGCTCCTCTGGGCTTTCCCACCCACCTGCTTCTGCCGCCCAGGACAGGGGTCTTGGTGACTGCTTCTCTAAATGGCATTTGTTGCACTGAAGACAAGGTAGTCCAGTCCCTCTGTCTCCTCACAGCCAGCAAGGCCTTTGCCTGCATGGATTCTGGCCCTTATAGAGAGCTGCTTTTTTTTCTGTAGAGAGGCCACTTTCCCAGAGTGTTTCTGCTTTCTGGGAGACTCCATGAAACTAAGTGACTGATTTTCAAATGCCGAGTTAGGGATGGAGTAGCATGCATTTATGTCATAACACCCAGGGGATGCACCCACATGCATTGTTGGCTATTTTGGACTTTCTTTGCTTGAACTTGGTCCTCTGGAAAGAAAAGAAACTTTGAAAAGTGAATGGAGGAGGTTCTTGGGAATGCAAATAACTACTTCTGTTTAGGAAGAGAAGCCAGAAAAAAAATTACACAAGCTCTTCAAAAAACATATTTAAATGCTCTCTGCACGTCCCCCAAGATCTTCCTCTCACAGAGAAACAGGACAAGTTGAACTGTGAAACACTAAGTGGATTACTACTTATCATTTTTCAATGGGCTGGCTTTTGTTAGCTTTTAAAATTGCTTGAGAGATGTCTGGGTATCCCAGTCATGCTGCCAAAGGCTCACATCTTCATAACTGGAGGTACAAATACCATTTGTTGATGGGTGTAAACAGGAAGAGAGGGAGGGACAACAGGCGGAGAAGAGCTGGGAGACTTTCTAACATGGCTTCACGCGTGGGTGGGGATGTTTCCGTTTGGCTCCCTAGTTGCTCTCCTCATGGCCCCAGTCCCAAGCAGCGCTGTGAGAGCTGGCTCCACTGCTGGTGCTGATTCACAGCACTGAAAGTACCGGAAATGTCCTAACTAGTTATTAGTTGTGTTTACAAGAACTAGAGGTCTGGATTTTGAGGTTAGGCCAGAAAATGGGCTTCAAGATAGCTTTACCGTATTGATTAAAATAGTGCTTGCTTTTTAGAGTTTACTTTCAAAATTGGTAGGTTCAGCTACAATAAAAAAATCTGGAATGGGTAATGTGATTCAGTTTTTCTAGAAGAGTACATTGTTTTTAAGAAAACTTGAAAATTACTTCAGAGTGTATGTATGTAATATAAGGAAGAGTGGTTGCAGCTTAGCACAAATAAAAGGAAAAAGTGAACTAAGAGAAGCACTCATTCAGACAGAGGAAAAAAGACAACAAAGTAAGGAGTAGAACTCGTAATTACTAAAATAAACTATGAAGTGGTAGTGGGAAAAACAAAAAAGAACAACTGTCCCTTAAGCACTGATACTTACCATTGGTATAGATAAATGAAAATCCTGTGTTTTGAATCCTGATGCTATATCTCTTGCATCCCACTTTTAATAGGGTAGTATGTGATTAGGCAATAGAGGCACTACCTCTGGCTGGAGAGTCTGTGCTTCAGGATGCTTCATCAGTCCAGATTAAATTGGGCTCTTGAGGTTAATTTAAGATGGAGCAAGTGGGAAACATGGGACTGGGACTTACATACTTGTGAGGCTTCCAGGAGGGGCACTTTTAAAGAATGAGAGGCTCTGATGTGTTGCCATGGCTTAAAGGGAGTGAAGGCCTGTGAAAAATCAAGGGAGGCTGTAGTGAGAACTGGTTGGAGAAATCAGTTGTGATAAATCTGCATCTCAGTGAGGAAAGATTCAGGAGTCTGAGGTTGGTATGAGGTTGCACTTCTGGGTAGTATCAGGCTGGACTGTCCCCTGATCACTGACCCTCAGGGAAGTCAAATCCTGCTACTGGCAGATCTGCTGCTGCTGAGCTTTGTGGCTTTCTAGTTACACATTGCAGTGATTGTGAGTTGCAGTGTTATAAAGGGTAGTTAGACGTAACTCAGTCAGTCTGGAACAATCTTTATTTTCAGTCGCACTATCTCTCTTGTTCTCCTCTAGAGCTAATCTTCAAGAAGATAAAAATTTCTATTCACAAATCTCATATTTTGTTCCACTTTGTTTCTGTTTCTGGTAGTACCAAAGACCACAGGCAAGGTCTCTTAGAGCTATATTGTACAAACACAAGTGGAGTTTATGATCCCTGCCCTGGTTTGGAATAATACAAGTCAAAGACTGAAGGTTCCTGCTCACTTCAAATGAAATTAAAGTGTCACCTGTGCCTGTTCACTAGACCTTCCAGAAAATGCAGGAAGAAACAGGCCAGAAATGCATATTAAAAACTAGGAAAGTTCTGAACTACCAGGACATGAAAATAAATTATTTTCAAAGTGGTATGTGGTGCCATCCCCACTTTTTCATTTGAAGTTCACCTCTGTTGTGAATTTTGAGCCATGGGTCTCAGCCAAGTTCCAGACAGGCACAGCAGG